TTAATTGTTTGATTGATTCCCTTTCCTTTCTCTTTACAAATCAAGTACTATTGAAACCTTTCCTTAAATATACCTCGTGTATTTTCCCTTCTTATGCTACTGTGAAGGATTTTATTCAAATTTCCTTTCCTTGTTTACACTTTCCGTTTGAAATTAAATCCCTTGACTAAAGGGAGAATATTTGAGACTAATTTTTTTTAAAAGGGTTTTCTTACCTTTCTTGTTTGCTTCTCTACACTATAAAAGAGGCTACCCTTCTACACTTTTACACACGAACACAGAATACCATCTGAGTTCACAATTCCCTTTCACTTAAATTCTCTCTTTTTGATACTCACACTGCTGTGGACTTTGCTCGCTTTCTTCTTCATTCTTTACTGTCTGCAGTCTTCGGTTCTATGACCATGGGTACCATGGTATTTGCACATCTGATTAGGGTCCTTTTGAGCTGGATCGGTCTGTAAGGGTCTGGGCCATCTAGTATCCTTAATCCGACCAATGGCTGATACAATACCCGATGCATCGATGCTTGTATTCTGACAGTCGAGGTGCCTCTTTGGGCTCAGCATTCCTATCGAAACCACTTTTTCTCATAAGCCCCCGGGAACTCTATCCCCGATCACTCCTTCTATTATTCCGTGTGGGGTTGCGTCCAGGCTCGTTATTTCTCCGATCTCCACTGTATGGCTAGTATCTATCTCTATTCGATCGTGGTTCCCGATCGACGTCCCTTTTAACTCTATCCACAGGCCTGTTGGGGTAAATCGAACCAATTGGAGTTCCTAGTTGATCATCTTCGACCCAATCTTCGACTGATATCGATTGTGTACATCGGCCCAAGTGACAGCTGGATATTCGATCAAATTTTGCTTCAACTGTTGTGAAGCTATGGAGCTCCGACTGTTGAGACCTTGTGTAAAAGCTTGAACAGCCCAATCGTCGGTGACTGATGGCAAATCCATTCTCTCCGCTTGGAACTGAGATACGAATTCCCTGAGCATCTCGTTATCCTTCTGTCTTACCTTGAAAAGGTCCGATTTCCTTGTTGCAACTTTAATGGCTCCGGCGTGGGCTTTCACAAAAGAATTTGCGAGCATAGCAAACAAATCAATAGAGTTAGGTGGTAAGTTATGATACTATATCATGGCACCCTTCGATAAAGTTTCTCCAAATTTCTTCAATAGAACGGATTCAATATCATTGTCTTCTAAGTCATTCTCCTTTATTGCGCATGTGTAAGAAGTGACGTGCTTATTAGGGTCAGTGGTCCCATTGTATTTGGGGATTTCTGGCATATGAAATTTCTTAGGAATGGGCTTCGGAGCCGCACTTTGAGGGAAAGGCTTCTGCACAAACTTCTTTGAATCCAAACCCTTTAGAATCGGAGGTGCCCTCGGTATTTGGTCAACCCGTGATTTGTACGTTTCTACCTTTTTGTCATTAGCCTCAATTTTCCTTTCACCTGATTCAATTCGTTTAGTGAGCTCCTCGAGCATCTTCATAATGGCGGGATCAGTCCCCGATACATTGGCGTTCGATTTCTCCGGTACAGGTTCGACTCTATGAATAACTTCTTGTGATGTTTCGAGCTCAATTCTGCTTGGTGCTCGATTTTAATTTTGGAGTTGCGCTATCTTAGTTTGTTGAGTTTACAACATTTTGAATATCATTCGAAGGCTAATTCCGCCTTCTCCACAGGTCTATGTATTCTGATCGGTTGCTTGGGCATCTCTACGGACACTATTTCCCGGGTCGACGCCGAGATTTGCATTTAGGGCGACGTGTGAACTGACATCGACGGGGTCTGCGATCGGTACTCCCTCGTGGCCATCTTGAGGCACTTCAATCCTTGGGGCGGCTACATTATCGTTTTCTCCATGGAAACCGAGGCCGTCCTCGGCGTGAGTGGGTACTACTTGCGAGTTAGACATGTTGATCCTGAAATCAAAAACACTCACAAGAACAAGCGTAAAGTAGTGTGTGTTACGTGAATTAATTCCAGGCAATCACTATTATCCTTAGCCCCACGGTGGGCGCCAAAACTATTTACCCTTAAAATTGGATAACAATTAAACTTATAATGTGGTTTTAAGGACACGTGATTTCACCTAATACCAATTGATAAATGTAAGGATTAGTAAAAGAAATTGACAATAAGATAAAGTAAACCAGTGTTACAACATAATTCAGCCCTCGAGCTCGGATGCCCTCGAACTAGTTGGTGCAAGAATAGTAGAAAATATGACAAGCTGATTGAACAAGAGAGTGTAAACTAAAGAGAGAATATTGTATTGCTTTGATATGCGTGAATGTAAGGTGTTTACAAAATGATTAAGACCCTATTTATATAGTAGAGGAATCCTATCTATGGTACAATTCTAATTATGGAAGTAAATTCCATGATTAGCCTAAACAATCGCCCTTGATTTGATCTGTTCCGGAATTTCCACCGTGATCTTCGAACAGTCACGGATATCTCGCTTTTCGGTTGTTGCGCTTTGTTCGAAGTCTGCCATATTTGGTCTCGATCGTTGCTGGCCTCGATCTCGACAGGCACCTCGATTCTCGAACTTGATTTATCGTCGTGCTCTGGTCTGATCCACTACGAGGCTGACCTTCGATGCAATTACCTGGTCTCGATCAAATAGTCAAATCGAGTAGGCTCGATTTTACTCGTATACAACTATATATAAAAGCCAAAAAGTATCGGAACAAACGAGCTTGTTATAAATAAGATCGATTATAGTTGCATTTTTTTTTTCTTTTCCTTTTGTTTATTTCTTTCGTATCCTTTTCTTTTTTCGTGTTTCAATCCCGACAACCTAAAACCCTTTATTTTGTCAAAATTGTTATAGTTACTTTTTGGTATCTGTTCTGTCTGATTGTTTAATGCAACTTTATTTCTAAATGCATATAAAATTCTCACATTTAAGATTCCAATTGTAAGAACATTCACACAGTAAAATAAAAAAGATAATATGAAAAATTCATGTTATATTTCATGAATTATTTTTTTTAATTACTAAGTGATTGAAAAGAAATAATGTTGGCTATTGTTTTAATAATCCCAAGTATCCCTTCTCCTTTGTCATTTCTCATGATTCATCCACTCCACCTGGCTAATTGATAAAATTTTGACCTTTTGTTATAAGCACCATCAGCTAGTATTCAGTTTGCAAAAAAAATAAAGTTGGTGGTGATGCCCACTTAAAATATTCGTCTTTACTGCACTTAAAATTAGAAGTTATGTATTAACTCCAAAACTATTATTCTCATTTTAATAGCTCAACTAATCCATTGTTGGAACGTAAAATTTAGCTTTTCTCAAATCTTCATCACCTCTTTTGGCAGTTAACTTGTTAACGGATACTCTATTACAATTGGAGAAAGGGCAGAGGCGCCAATTTTTAATTTATTAAATCAATGATGAATGATTTGATTACAAACTCTATATTTGTCACCAACTTGTTGATTTTGTGGATGGAAGGGCGACTAGATCGAGTAGTTTATATGGAAACTAGTTAGAGATAGCCCGTGCTAAGCACGGGCCCAATAGCACTGTGCTTAATATAAAAGATTTTCACAAAAATTGAGGTCACCCAATTAACCGTCCATTCAATTGCTTAAACTAACAATGACCGGTGAATGTATAATATATGCATAATTTATGTATTATGTGTGTATAATTATATATATAATATGTAATTTATGTAAATGACTAGAAAAAATAAATAATAAATATAGTCATAAAAATTTGGATTTAACTTGTTGACTTTCTTAACTTTTCATTGTTTTAAGTGTAGTACCTTTAGAACTTTGAGCCAAAAAATAATAATAATTAATTCAGTTATAATTGTATTTTTCTTTTAAACCTTATTATGTATCTTAAATTTTCAATTTAATTATCACTTACAAGGTACTGAAGCAACTGCAATAATCTTGAGCATTATAGTACTACCATTTCGTAATGTAGTTGGCATCTATAACAAGGTTATAATTTTATTTCATAATTGTGGATTTATTATCTATGCAATAATTTATATTTTATGTAATTAAAATAAAGACCATTTAAAAAGCTAATCACATAGAAATGTCCAAACCAAAAAAGGTTTTTAAAATTTTATGTAAGATCACAACATAAAATATCAAGTTAAGTATTTGTACGTAGTCTCTGAACTTTTAAAAATAGTGGGTTAATTTACATATATTGAACTTAAACTAAATCAAACAGTCCCTCAAGTTAAATAATTACGGTATGGATAATATTACACTCAGTAGTCATTAAAGTAGATTTAGCCACGTGGATATCAAATAGACACTAAAGTACAAATTAATACTACATGTGATGAGAATCTGAATGGACCCCACATTATTAAATGATGTGCCACACATATTTCCAAATCTAACCCTAAGCGGGACTACCTGCTTATCCCCCATAGTTAGAGACTTAGAGTAGACTGTAGAGCATGGATGGACCAATATGGAATATAGTGAAACATTATGAAATGACAGAGATACCTTTGTGATGAAACAGACATGTAGTGGTTGAAATCGCATGGCAGAAAATTACGTCTACCCAAGAATGCATGAACAAAATCTTGCGAGTCCAGGATTAATCAACCCAAAACCTATTCTAGTTCATGCAGTACAAATAAAATATAATAATAATAATTTCTACCTTTTGACTTTCCAACACTGTAAAGGTCTCTCATGTTACCAATTAAAAGCTGGCCATGATGTAGGGTTCTTGAAAACTCCAGTATGTGTTTGGAAAATATTTGCTTGAAATTGAAAAACATATATTTAAATCTAAAGTAATAAATTAAGAAGTAGTATCTACAAGGTCTCGTTATGTTTGGACTTGAATTCCATGAAAAAAAACTTGAAGATTATTATAAGTCAAAATTCCATTTTTTCATATGACTTGAAATACTTCTGAAATAAAAAATTTCACTGGTATTTCAAATGTTGAGTTCATTAGGATTTCTGATTGCCAGCCAAAAGATAAATTCATCTCAACTTTGTTGGCTGAGAAACTTAGACCGCAGAGTGTCCTCAAACTTCAGCAAGTACTAACTACCGTGCTTTTCCAACTTCTCATAAGACTTGGTAGAGACCTGCAACAGATTTTACATACTGTTAATTAATATCTATAGTATATAGTACAGGGGTTCTCTTAAATAATCTTCTAAATCATGGGAAATAACATCCACATTTCAGCAGTTTGTTCTGAATGCTTCACAATTGCTGAAGGAATAAAACTTTCTTGTTTCTGTACCCTGTATGTAGTTTCAGAAAAAAGAGAAAAAGACCAACCAAACTAGAAATTGTTCATTCTTTTAAAATCAACACCAGCATTTTGATCATTTTTAAATATTGCAGATTTTGGTTCATTACCTTATTAGATGATGGAGAGGTGCGCGCAAATCTGCTTGGAGAATTCGAGTTTATTAAATGCCCCGGGGAAACAGATACTACAGTTGGTGACTGCATATATGGGGAAACAGGTGACCGCAACATTGGACTTTGTTGATAAGATATTTGTGTCTGATGAATACTTGAAACTGGAGATGCTATTGGACTTTGCCACTTCAGTTTAGAAACCCCTGACGCCACTGCTCCTGGAGATCTTCTAGGCGAAAATATCATTGAGGGAGGAATATTTATTCTAATTCTGTACACAAGAAAATCAGAGACTCAGCTATGTCAATGCATTCTTATGATATTGTTAACTGAAATTGCTACAGTTACATACTTGTTGTGAACATCAACATAATCATCAGTCTCATCGTATATTGGTTCCTACGACGAAAAGTGAAAGAGTTAAAGCAGACCAATTAGCTAGGAATCATCAGTTTCGGAAAATTAAACAAACAGAAAACATAACCAAACAAGTATTAATTTTACCTGCAGAAGTTGTTCAAGAACATCTTCCATTGTAATGATACCAATTGCTTCTTCTCCTATAATTGAAGATCATTCCAATTTATCAAAGATATACAATTCTCTGGTAGTCCAAAAATTATATTATTCTGACTATTCTTACCCTTTTCAACTGCAGGTTCTTGATTTGGATGGGGAAGGATGTTTATCTTGATTATATCGTGTTTAGCAGTGGCATTTTCTGCAGCTTCCTTAGTATTCCTACTACTCTTTACCACTACAGCCATATGGCTGTTCCCTTTCTGGAACTGGTTCAGAAGATCATATAATGGTAAAGAATCTGGGACCCTGAGGGGAATTAAGTAAGCAAGATGGATGACAGTTTTAGTTATTTGAATCCAAAATTTATTCAAAAGAATTGTTTAAAATTTTCATAGACAACTTTCCCTTTTACTGATCCGGATTTAAAAGGGCAGCCCGGTGCACTAAGCTCCCACTATGTGCGGAATCCGAAGAATGGCCGGACCACAAGGGTCTATTCAGAGGTGGAAACGGCAGGATTTGAACCTTATGGATTCGGGATTGTAATTCTTTTAAGTTACTAGGTTCTAAACTAATAATTTGTAAATATTCAATTGAGTTTTTAAGACTAATATAGGGTTTGAACAAAAGTTTTTGGGTTCGGCTGAACCCGCACCCCATACTCTAGCTTCGCCCTTGGGTCTATTGTATGCAACCTACACTGCATTTCTGCAAGAGGCTGTTTCACAGTTCGAACCCGTGCCCTCCTGATCATATGGAGGCAACTGATCTGGATTTACTTTTATATAAATATCACAGCAATTCAACTAGTATTTTCTTAATATGTCCAAGCCAAATCAACAGCTAAAATTGGAACACAGGGAGACGGGAGTATTACTTTCTTGAAAAGAATGCATCATATTATATGTAAGAATTTACAGTATCGTACTCTGGCATACTCCTTATACTGAGATCTTTGATTGGCACCTCATCTTCAGGATGATATTTTATCAAATTCTTCACCTAGAGAAGGTATGAAGGGTAAAGATATTGAAGAAAAGTTAAATATGCCATACAAAAGAATATCAAAATTGTTGCAGAATGATGCTAGTATATTTGTTTTATTATCCCATTAAATAGTAATAGAGTTTCTGAAAAGACTTACTAAGATTAGTCCTACAATGTTCGTTGGACTGCCAGAGTATACAGGTACGCGACTGTGGCCTTTACTTATAATCAGATTCATCATCTCACTAGGAATATAATCATCAAAATTTGGGTCACTATTAACAAGGAGTGCTAATTGAAGGAGAAATTTGACAGAGACTTAGTAGCATACTCGGTAAGTTTAGAATGAAGATCAAGAGAAAATACTCTGGACATGGGGGTCATTGCATCTTTAACCATTTTCTGTGCTAGGTCCAATGCTCCAGCAATTATGGTAGTTTCGTCGTGGCTCAACTCTCCGCCTTTCCCTGCCTATCATCACCGGAGGCAAATTCAGGATCTAAAATTAGTGACCGGTTCAAAAAGAGTATGATTTTATTATATGTATTCTTTTTTTGCTGTTGCATATGTTTACATAATCGGCTGAATCAAGCAAAGATAAGGTACAAAGCACTAACCTCATTACCATGCATATTTACTAAGGTTTTCAGCTCTGCACGGCGTAGAAGTGCTGAGTGCCCTTTACCCAGGAGTCGATCCAACAACTGATGAAACAGAGTGAACAGAAATAATTAATTAGTTGACTAAACTATGCCCTTTACATTACTATTTTAATATTAATCTGGGGATTAGGGCTTAATTTCTCTAGGATTACAAAGAAGATAAGACTTTACCTTACTGATGGGATAAGATAAAGGGAAGACAATTATGACAAGCAAACGAACCAAAGGTGACAATCTTGCACCAATGCTCAGTCCATAGCGAGAACAGACTGCCTGAGGAATAATCTGTGTGGCAGGGAGAAAATTGAAATTGAATAAGTCAATTTAAAGAAACAAACAGTAATTAAAAAAGAACTCTTGAAAAACGACCTCTCCAAAGGCTAGTATGAGGGTGACTGATATCAGTATAGCACCCCATGCAGGAAGTAGAGCATCTAGAAATATTGGAAGAGCCTGCAGTTTCATCAAAACATTAAGCAGATATCAGTTCAAAAAATGGCAATATCACTACAAACCAGTGGCGGATCCACAATTTATACGTTGTGAATTCTAAGTTGAGATCTAGAGCTTGTTCTGAAATATATATCTGACTATATATATATATATATATATATATATATATACTGGGTTTTTTTACTCATATATAAGGATCAAACCCTGAAACACTATATTCCGCTTAAGTCCATGAACCTATTCTTGGATTCACGACTGCTAAAAACATACCTCCATGGCCATGGCATTACATATTAGAAGGGTACAAAGGAGCAAGTGCTGATTCTTTACAATGGGCAGAATTTTCTCTGTGATCAGTTAAAAATAGAGCACTTAGAACTCAAAGTGGCAGAAAATAATTGGATCCAAACAAGCAAAGGAATATATAATTACCTGCGTTTTTGCGATCATTTGGCTGACCAGCCTTAATGAGGACTTCAAGATCCATAAGGCTAAGGGACATGAGTCCCAGTGTTAGTCCAGACATAAGTCCAGCAAAACACACAAGTGACACACTGATTACTAAGTATACCCAAAACATGGTTTCACAGCATGGTACATCATTTGCTGCCATTTTGTGTTAATTAATTTAACAATTTTTCTGATACTAAAGCTAAAAACACAGGACGTAACGCACAAAAGACAGGAATTTGGAACAGAACTACTGGAACTTATATAAGGAGGAAGAGGAAGCAGGTGGAAATTGCAACCTGTGGATAAGTGATTTTTTTTTATAAAAAGAATGATGAGATGGATTAATCTACATATATATACTAGTGCATTTTTAAAATCTAGCTGTCTGAGACACTAATGATTATTTAATGATTTAATCCATTCAGTAATGATTAAACAACCCCAATTAAAACTTACGGTCGAAACACGTAGTTGCTCAGGGAATAAGCTAGATTTATTAATTATGATTGTCTGCCCGCTTTCTTATGCATCATTCATTAATAAGTTCCTCAAAACTTGATTAACATTTTCTTTTATAAAAAAAAAAAAAAGAGAGAGAGAGAACTCGATAACATAACATAAGTTATCGACCTGGGACACATCGAATCAGTGAACTTCCTAGTGCGTTGTGACGTGGAAGACACTTCCAAATTTACTACTCCTATAAATCAACTTTTATGTACTAATAACCTTTCTGAACCACGAAACGCTATATATTGCTATATAGAGTAAAATGTTAGCAAAATTTGATGGGGAAAGTAGGAAAGGAGAAGAGAAATACGGAAACAGACAAACGATGATCAAGAAAAGGCTCAAGGCGTGATACGATCATTGTCTCAAAAGAGCAATTGTATGCCTATGTGGGGTAAGCTAAAATATAAACAAAAAGTGTTCAAGCTAAAGCCTACTGAAAACGAAAACTAGACACTTCTCCGTCTCTCATCTAAAATTAAAGCATTAGACTAAAACGGTCCAAAATGATCTTAACATGATGTAATATCGTGTGATTTGGGCCAAGCCCAAAGGAGAGGTTGTATATGCGTCTTCAAAATTACGAATACAGTTAGTAACTTGCTCATAGGCGGGCAAACACATTAAGCTGAGCCCTATGCTATCACCCCAACTAGTAGAAATCCGCTAAAAACCGACCAAGCCGTACCGACCAACGTTGGTCTGTCAAAAAAAGCGACCAGAAACCGTTCAGCATGGACGGAAACAGGAAAAAAAAATATTTTACATTTTTTTAAAAATAAATACCGACCAAAGTTGGTCGGTAAATTGGTCAACAAGTTTACCGAGCTGGTCAGGCTTGCTTAGTCAAAGAAACTTTTTGATTGCCGACCAACTTTGGTCGGTGTATTTTATTTCCTGGAAAATAACGGACCAAAGTTGGTCGGTTATTAGGCCAACATTGGTCAAACTTTTGAATCACTTTTATATTTACTATCTAAATAATATAAATGAAATCCGTTAACACTTTATTTTGTAATACAAACGATGAATACACTAATGTAACGACCCGACCGGTTGTTTTGCTTTCTAGAACTACGTTCCCCTAAATAAGACTTCCCGTACTTGCTTTAACTTATTTATGACTTGCAAGGATGGTTGGTTCGGGATTTGGAAGAGTTTGGGTTGAAATCGGAACACTTGGTTCCTTAAGGTTGGCTTAAAAGGCCAAGTTTGACTTCGGTCAATATTTTGAGTAAACGACCTCAGAATCGGGATTTGACGGTTCCAATAGGTCCGTATGATGATTTCGACTTGGACGTATGTCCGGATCGGGTTTTGGATGACCTGAGAGCGTTTTGGCGCTTAATAGTGAAAGTTGATTCCTTAAGGATTTTGAAGTTCTTTAAATTTGGTCTGGAGCGGGTTTTTGTGTTATCGAGGTTTAAATGGAGTTCCGAGATCGAGAATACTTCCGTAATGTCATTTAAGACTTGCACGCAAAATTTGGTGTCAATCCGAGTAGTATAAGTGTGTTTCATCACATTGGAGATAAATTAAAGAACTTGAAGTTCATAAGTTTGAATCAATTGGTTTTAGGGTGTGATTCCTAGTTTTAATGCTGTTTCCGGCATTCCGAGGGTTCGAGCGAGTCCGTTTTATCATTACAAACTTGGGGGTGTGTTCAGGCGGGGCCCCGAGCGCCCCGAGCGCCAATCGAACGAGGCTCGGATCAAGTTGGAAATTTTAGGCAAGAGCTGGATGCCTAGCTTCTGTCATAACCGCACCTGCGGTTGGTCACCCGTAGATGCGAGCTCGCAGGTGCATGCCATGACACGCAGATGCGGCTAAGGCTGGCCAGCCCAAAAACCGTAGAAGCGGTCCTTTCTTCGGAGAAGTGGAACCGCAGAAGCGGTTGCCCATCCGCAGAAGCGGCCCCAGCCGGCCTAGCGAGGTTCCGCAGAAGCGGACCTTTTTCTGTAGATGCGGTGGGCGCAGGTGCGGCCCAGGACCGCAGATGCGGAAATCACTGAAGGCAGTGACCTTCATTTAATACGGGAGTTAGATGTTTTGGCTCATTTTTCACTCCATTGTGGACGATTATTGAGCTTATTGAGAGGGGTTCTTCACCAAGCTTTTGGAGGTAAGTAATTCCTACTATATGTGAGTTAAATACTTGGATTTTGGGTAGATTAACATGTATAGATAGTGGAAATCATGGGATTAGAGTAAAACCTAGGTTTTTGAAACAAGATTTAACCACGAAATTCGTTATGGAATCAAGTAAAAATCATATATTCTTGATCCTTAGGTTATGGGTAACAACTTCCTTCGAAAATTTCCGGGGATGAATTTTAGGAACCTTGCCTTTTGGGTTGGATAATCACTTTAATAGCGAGAATATGAATTTGTAAACCTATAATGATTGGTTTTTACACTATTTGAATAGTTTCGGATTGTACGGCTCCGGTTTGAAAGTTTGAACGCATTCTTGAGTTGGAAGTAGGCTCGAAACGAGGTAAGTCTCTTTTCTAATCTTGTAAGAGGGAAATTTCCCCATAGGTGAAATTATTCATATATGATTAATTATGGGGGGCTACGTACGCACGAAGTGACGAGAGTCCCTTCGTAGCTACTATTCCTGTTATGTCCGGGTAGTTCTAGGCTTACACCATGCTTTGTGGGTGCCGTTATATGATTATAATTATTAATTTGCATTGAACGGGACTAAGTTGAAGATGTTATGATTTCAAGGATTTCAAGTAAATATTTATTTTGATAAGAATTGAGGAAAACATTAAATTATATTTATACTTAACCGCGTCGCAAGTATATTCCGCGAGCGGGGTAATTTTTTCTACTACTCTCATGGGAGCGGGCCGTTCGCCTCGGCGGGATACTAAATGTATATATAGTTCGGGCCATTCGACTCTCGGCGGTGCACAGTTTACTTTTATGTGGGATCGGACCGAACGTCTTCGGTGGTATTTGTGTGTGATTATAGAACCGGAACCCTTCTTATGATTCATTGCTTGAAAGGTCACTTGTTTTAAATGAGGAAAGTCTCTAGTTTTACTAATTGGATGAAAGGATTTTCGGTATTATTCTTGTTTGAGCTTGTTTTTATCTACATACATTGTGAATCAAAATATTGAACTTCATATTATTATATTTGTCGGCCCTAGTAAGTGTCAGAGTCGACCCTTCGTCACTACTTCTACGAGGTTAGGCGAGATACTTACTAGGTACATATTTCTATGTACTCATGCTACACTTCTGTACTTGATTGTACAGGATTTGAGGCAGGTGCATCTGGCCATCCGTCTGGCACGTAGAGTGGACTCCTCAGCTTGAGACTTTCCGGTGAGCTGCCCTTTTGAGCCGTTCTGCAGTAGCTGGAGTCTCTCTTTTGTCTTTATGTTCCTGTCTATTCCTTTTCCAGATAGTAGGATAGTATGGTTATATATATTCTACTAGATTGACCACACACTTGTGACACCAGGTCTTGACACACACATTGGTAGACTTATGATGTTTTGTCTTATCTTCATGATTGAGATTCACATTTATTACTTCCATTTAAATATGCTTAAATTTTTAAGCTCTAAATTTCTTAATCTATAATGGAAAGTTATCACGTACTAACTACACAAATGATAATTTACTATTTGATTAGTGTTGGCTTGCTAACAACGGTGTTGGGCGCCATCACGGCCTAATATGGAATTTGGGTCGTGACAACATGGCATCAGAGCACTAGGTTCACGTAGGTCGCACAAGTTATGGGCAAACCTGTTAGGGTCTTGCGAATCGGTATGGAGACGTCTGTACTTATTTTCGAGAGGCTACAGGGTGTTAGGAAACTACTATTTATTCATCTCCTATCGTGCAGTTGATGGTATACTAAATTCCTTCTTCTATTCTCTCACAGATGGTGAGGACGCGTACGACGGACGTTCCAGACCCGGGAGGAGCTGCTCCCCCCGTTGCTAGAGGCCGAGGCAGAGGCCGGGGGAGGGCACCAGCCCGAGGTAGGGGACGAGGGCGTCCTAGAGCTTCCCCAGTTGTACCACCGGCAGATCCAGCAGGGGATCCCATTATCGAGGAGTAGGGCGAGGTGCCCGCAGCAGAGCCTGCCCCAGCGGATTTCATGACAGCACCGGGCTTCCAGGAGGTCATGGGCCGTATGCTGTGGTTCATGGACTCTATGACTCAGGCTGGTTTATTTCCAGCAGACCCAGCCACATCTCAGGAAGGAGGGGGAGCACAGACCCCTACTGCTCAGTCTCTTGGGCACGCAACTGCCATATACCAGACTCCAGGTACACTACCCGCGCGTGGTGCCCAGCCAGTTGCAGTAGTGGCACCTAAGCCCAGACCAGTTGCGGACGCCGATTCGTAGAAGTTGTTGGACAGATGGACTAGGCTACACCCTCCTATCTTTGGTGGTGAGCTTCATGAGGATGCCCAAGATTTCATTGATAGGTGCAGGGACAGACTGCACAACATGAGGATATTAGAGTCCCATGGGGAAGATTTCACCGCCTTCCAGTTAGAGGGAAGGGCCCGTAGGTGGTGGCAATCTTACCTTCTTAGCAGACCAGCAGGTTCTTCTCCAATGACTTGGGATCAGTTTACACGGCTTCTATTAGACAAGTATATTTCACCTTCTCAGAGGGAAGAGTTACGGAGTTAGTTTGAGCAGCTCGAGCAGGGTCAGATGTCTGTGATCGACTATGAGGCGAGATTCTCTGAGTTGTCTCGCCATGCACTCATGATACTTCCTACGGACGCAGAGAGAATGCGGAGATTTGTTGTGGGGTTACACCCCGGT